TAGCTTTTGAAGGCGATGTTATCGTGGAGAGTAACATGAGTCCGTCAACCAGAAATTGTGATAGAGTGGTTAACGCCGTATCGTTTGACGGGAGTCCTGGATATGCCAAGATTAGGAAACTGGGTGATGATGTCGATAATTGTCTGTACGTACTAGCATTAGACCGTTCTGCTTTGGGAACATTGCACGGGTTCTTTGAGGAGCCATATTGGGGACAAGCACAACGTAAAACACAACAAGAAGATGTGATTGCGACTAAACAAGGAACACAAGTGACAAATGAGGAGCAGCGACAACGGCAGGAACAAGAACAATCGCAAAGTAGCGTGTCCGTACATTCTCCGGTATATGTGGCATGGGGTACACAGCAAGCATACTATAATTCTCAATCAAAAACACTAGAGGTTTATTATGGCGAAGAAGAAACGGAACTCACTCTCATCTCGCTAAAGCCTCCATCCAACTCTTCAACTCCCAATGCATCCTACCCTCTTCCATTTGTCCACACTATACCACTAACTCCTCATCATGTAACGTCGACTCTCGACCTGACGCCTCAACTTCGCTCTTGGCAAAAACGAGTGTCTGATTTGGCTAATCTAAATTGGCGGCCAACCAGTCTTAAACAATCGCCGCTGGAACATGGTCTTATATCTGGACATATATTATATAAAACTTGCTTTCCAGCCGAGTATAAGGTTTTAAAATCAAAGGTCAGGCTCTTAATAAATGCGAGACATAGGTGCAGCATATTTCTGAATGACCACTTTGTTGGTGGACACACAGTTTATTCGAAACGTTTGTGCGTACCTGGATGTAAGAATGGACCTGAACTGCTTACCAGTTTTGGAAAGAAAAAATATGATCTGACACAATTTCTCAAACTACCCAAGAGCGAGGAAGCTAACGTGCTGATTATAGTGGTAGAGAACTTGGGAATCAATCGACAGATGGACATGTTTAATGATGCTCGAAACCCACGCGGACTTATTTCTGCGTCGTTCACCGGTCTCAAGAGCGGCAACAAACCACAGTGGAGTATTTGTGGTGTAGATGCAAGAAGGCTAGATTGTTCATTTATCACTAGTGGCATTCCGGATGAACATAAGCGTACTGGTTGGATATCGTTACCGTCTCTACCTGAAAGTGGGATAAACCCATCAGATGGTTTAAGTTGGTGGAAATTTAGTTTTTTGCACCCAGTTTCCTCCAAGCTGCGTTCAGAACTCTCGGCTCCTCTACGATTAGTACTTTATGGGTCATTTACTTCATATATATTTCTCAACGGTACTCTTATCGGTAGGTATTATGGAAATGGAGATTCACCTCAACATGATTTCTACTTGATGGACGGACTGTTGAAACACGATGAAGATAATACGATTGCGTTGTTGGTATATAGTTGGGAGCCGGTGATATCGCCCGATTTGAAGGTTCAAGTTAGAGGGTGGGAAATTGATGATGCGAACAAGAGTGGGAACGTGGCTAGATTGCGACGAGGAACGGAGGATGTGGAGAGTGCTAGTAACGGTTGGGTTGTATGGAAAGCCAGTATCAATTTGTGAGATTTTGTTAATTATCACGTGTTATAATGTGCTATTTATGGGTAGTATTATTGAATAATATTATCTTACTATTAATTGCATTGCTATCCATAAATAGGTAATGTGTATGATTATTTGCATTGACCCTGATTATAAATGTACTTGTACAAATTTATCTCAATATTGTGAATAAATGTTTTTGTTTTGATCGTATTATTGTATATATAAATGCCTACACATGTGTATGTTATGTTAAATGTACATATCACGGTCGGAAACTAACGTGATATTCATCAATAGTCTAACGTGAAATGTCGTCTAGTTACCACGTATGCATCAGAGATAAAAAGAATCAATTAGCTCCTTTGATGAAAACGAACCAAAGCACCCATTAACTACAACGTGATAACACTTACCTTCTAGATTTTAACAAATACAATAAATTTAACAGAATGCTTTAATTATTCTTCATATCCTCCTCACCATCTCCACCATCTCCAACCTTTCTCTTATCATCCATTTCAACATCGACTCCATTATCCCTTACGTTTACCAATTGCTCAAAAATTTCCTTATCATCAGCCTGCATGATAGCCTTCATGTTGTCAGAGTCGACTATCAAATCCCAATTATCAACTGCAAACTGGAACACTGCCGTCTTCAACTGTATATTATTAATAGTCCATCCGAATAATAAAACCCGATCCCAGTTATCAAAATTGACATTACACGCAAAGTGGCTGATAATTATGGATGAGAGATGGGGGAGATCGAGACGAGTGGAATATTCCCAGGTCTCAAAAAGAGTGTCAAAAGAGAGATTGAGCTGCACATTGCCCGTGTAAAGATAATAAAGTATTGGTTTGAATACTTCGTATGGAATGTCTCGAATTGGAATCGTAGTTAAAAGAGCGGATGAGGAAGTTACGGACGTATCTGTCGGGAGAGTAACTGAAAGATTGGAAAATTCATTGTTTGATAAAGCGCTCGACTCGGCAGGAGACTGTACATCAGTCTGAATGCTTGTTTCGATGATAGATTTAATAGTTGATTGATTACTAGATTGACTGCTTGCTGTATCCAAACTCTCTTCCATGCTCTCGTCTACACTTTCGTCAGCATTAGAATCCAATTCGTTATTACTCTCCTCCTCCATCACCTTTAGATCCACCTTCCCGTAACAAAGTAATCTCTTAAAATAGTCTGAGCATGCGGCTAATATCACTCGATGAGCTCTCACCCTGTTCCCACAATCAAATACAAACTCAACATCGCTAAACTTGTCTTGATGGTAATACTTTTCAAAAGAATGACCCAAATGAAATGGAGCAGAACATCCGCCATACCCATGCAGATTGTTATGTATCTTGACCTTGATGACTAAATCTACATTACTCCAGGAGTCTCCTCCGAATATGTCATTATTGGAGCATAGTTCATGTAATCCCCAATTATCGGTGCCCATTCTCATTTTGAAATAATCTCGTTGCATTTCGAGGCCCGATAGTTTTATTAATTTGTCTTCATTGGATATTGGGAACGGGTTTATCTTGTATAGTTCAATTACGTAGCCTACTAGTCGACATTTTATCGAATGACTTTTCTCGTATCTTGTCTGCCACGCTGTCAAATAGACTGACATGTGAGATGTGTGGTCACTATGACCTTGCGGGTACAAATCAACACACCAAAGATAACCGGGATTGTCACCGTCTTCGGGTGAGTAAATAGTATCTCTGCGTGGCGACCAAAAGCGTCGACTAGATATCATTTGGTTATGAGGTAAAGATTTGTATGTATTCTGATATGATCTGAGCGTCCACGAAAACTCAAAATAGTCATGGTCTATGGTTGATTCCATAGTGAGATTAGGAACAATGTTCAAGCGTTAATGTCGTTAATCGAGTTTTTCCAGTGAAGTGTGAAAGATGGTTTAGTAATCAGTGGGCGTCTACTATAACGTGTCTCTAAAATGTGAGTGCCAAAAGTGGGTTAGAGGAAGAATGCCAAAGTTGTAGCTGCGGGTGAGTTGAAGGTTTATCTGCGTTGTGACACTCCAGGGCGCATTATGCGCTGAAGTGTAAATGAAGATCAGATGTTGTATTTGTATTTTGAATGATTAAGGAAATATTTCACTGTCGATCAATTGACGACTTTCTTTGAACTTTTGGCAACGGGTTGACATTTTACGTGGAGTATGTTACAAGAGAGCGCCAGGATAAAGGCGCGTACCTTGTCAACAGATGCTTACTGCTGTGATTTTCGTATAATCTTGATTTAACATCATTTCGACATAACGGTCATGTCAACGTGACAGTGAACATAATGTTACCCTGTATTTTCAGAGTCGTTGGACACAAAAGTCATATTATTTACATTTTACAAATGTAACAGACATGCTTTTACACGTTGAACTGGTTATTTTTCTAAAATACTGCTCCTGATGAGTCTTTTGGTTTTATATTGAAATTAATTTAGGCTCGAGCAAAGTACAGATCCCACTGGTTTAGCAATTTGTCTACCAAGTCTGTTTCGTCAAGTCAGTAAATTGTTTCCCTTACCTACAAAATTATAGACGCGACATTCGCTTTCCTATAGTGCACGATAACTTAGGTAACAATTATATAACAAATAGTTTATTCAGTAATGTAGGAACGGTCTTTTTATTATTGCCAAAGTTATCGCTGCCATAATTAAAAATTGCGAATTTATATGATAAAGTGTCCGTAAGCTTTTAAAATATTAAACGTTTAACTGCGGTATTTTTATGCAATCGTTAATTTCATCATTAGAGCGTGCTAAAATATTGACACGATATGCAAAAAGCCAAGGAGCGGTAATAATTTTATCAACAATGCGCTTTACAAATTATGTTATGACAATTAAATAAAAAATGACGTTTTGCTCAAAGCAGACTTTGGTACATAAAATCTATCCTAACCTTATTGTCATATCGTCGAAAGTCCTTGTACGAATATCAGAATAAAAATGGGATAACATTAATCAAGGCACATGTGAATTTGGGTAATTCATACAAGCTGTCCATCGAAAAATATTGTTTCGTTACAAATAAGCCAGTATGCAAAAGTGTTGATATTGGCAATACAAGCAACACGAAAGATAATTACGAAGTGACGAAAATCTGTACAATTGTACAAAATCTTACTATTGCAGTTGAGTACGGCTATATACATAATCTCGTTAATCCAAAATAGAAGCTTAATACGAGCCATTTGTTAACAAAATTTTCTTTACATATTACTGTATTAAACGCTAGAAATGAATAAGAATAAGCCAGGTCAAATATAAATAGCGTTGTATGATAGCAAAACTATAATAATAAGGCTTTCTAAGCCACGAATACTAGTAATTTTTGAACATATCTTTGTTAAGAACGTTCAAAGTTATTGACCAAATGTAAAGCCTTGTGCTTTTAAAATTGTTATCGCTGTCTACAGCTGCGTAATATGAATATTACATTACATTGATATTTCTTACTGTTATCGGTTAAGCAATTCTACTACCCAAAAATCATACACGTGACTTTTAATAAATGGACCTTGTGCGTAAATCCGCGGATGAAAGAGACATTAAAAAGTACAACCCGACGTCACCAAGGCCAGGGCCTATATAAGTATCGTTATGCGCCCGTTGGAGGAGGATATTAGTGCTCGGACGTCTAATAAGGAGTACTGGAGAAGTTTCGCTGGTTCAAAAGTACGCCATCTCAGCTTACTACGACTACTCTAGCAGCTCGTAAGAAGTAGACATTTACGTACAACAAACCCGTTATAATTACAGTCAAGCAACTTCGATATGAATGAAGGTGTCTAAGCTATAAAAAAGAAGACTTCAAGCCTGATGAGGAAACTCTGAAATTGAGCAACTGATTGCCAATAGCATCAGAAGTCTTATTCAAAGTATCGCCCATTTAGGCCTTATCTTTTTTATAGCACGACTACAAACCCTAACACCAATCGCGTTTCCATATGAATAAAGGTGTCTATCGCGCCTAACACCAAATCTTTATCAAACTTTTTCTTTTTTTAAAGGTAGCGATTTAAATCATATCAAACGTAAACAAAAGAAGATAATACTTTCTTTTCTAATTGTTCTAAATTTAGTAACCTATCATGGCAAGAGCTCGAAATATCAAAAAAAAAAGAAGAAGAATGGGAAGTATTCGACGTAGACTCCGAATTGCGTTGGGATTCCAATACAAGAGTACCGTGCGGAGAGCTCTCGTAAACCGCGGGATAACCGCATACATAAGATGCAGGTGAATCTCACTAAGTATTTGTAGAATAGTTATTGTATCTGAAGGTACGCTGCTACTAGGTGTAAAATGGAGAATTGAAAGCACATCGAGGCCACAGCTTACAAGATAATTACCACATTGTGTGTATCTGAAGTTACGCTGCCACTAGGTATAAATCGGAGTTTGAAAACACAGAGGGTGTGAATTAATCGGAACTTCGTTACCGACAAGGATATCGAGACGGTGCTCTCTCCAGTTAATAAGAAACTGTCGAGATGGAAGTCCCTCGATTTGTGGTGAATAGGATACATAAAAGCACTTTATGGTTTTTACTCTGAATAGTTGTGAATGTTCTTCTCCGTTACCGAAACAAGCCGTCTAAGAGTATTCTTCGGCTTTGTGGTGAATAAGATATAATGATTAGTGAAATGAAAGCGCGCCGTGGCCACATCTGTGAACGTTCAACTCTGATCTTGACTATTATGACACAAATACTTATTATTATTATTATTATTTGATGTTAGTCGGTGTAACTGCGGGGATGGCGGAATTGACCTAACCGCCGTCTATGAAAATATCGGATTCTACTTCCAATGTAAACGTTGGCTGCTTCGAGTTGGTTAGTATAAGATAAATACGGAATTTGAAAATATAACTCGAAACAACAGAAAGTGAAAAATTCATAATAACATTACAATTTATTTTTATATAGGCGCTAACGTAGTAGACGCCCTAGTCGGGGCTGTTCTTCGGGAAAACCAAAAAAAGGCGGAGGTTGTGGCGGTGGTGGTGGCACCATCGTTCACAAAAGGTGCAAGAAGAGCAGCGAAAGTTGCATCAATTCCCGTTATTCTCACTAACGTGGATGATGTGGCCGACACTGTTCTAAATTATGTACGGAAAAAATGACGAGCAGAACGGTGGTATCTAGTTTACAAGAATGTGTTCTGGGTATGGATGGGAGTTTGGGTGGGAGTTTGGATGACAGTCACGGCACAAAAACTTGTAAGATATTTCTAATATCATCATCAAATATAATGCGTATTTTTTAATATGTAAGAATTATCGTTTTCAGTACAACTTATTGAATTAAACATGTCTTGGAGTTATATCATGTCATCTATTTTAACTTCTAATTTACCGCGCCAGAAAAAACTATCATTTCGTTTGATAACCACTCCTGATACGAATTATAGAATCTATCCGCGCCGATATCAAACTCAAAACGATTGAATTTATCTCTAGATCCTTTGTGAAATATACGCTTTGTTCGACATTCTATTTATTGTACAGGGAGTTTTATCATCATTGACTTTTCTGTATTCGATTATATAATCGAATCTTCTTTCCAAAGCAGAGTATTTTTTTTTTGTAAACTTTTAAGTGGGTTATTGAAGTAAAAAAAAATGGTACATTGGAGCGTAATTTGCATGATTGTTTTTAACTTCTATTGAAAAGAATCTGGTATCAATCAAAACTAGAAATCTTCTATGAAAATCTATGAGGTCGATTTGGATATCGTGCCATGGTGCTCTTGATACAACAGGTACCATGTCAGTTCTTCTCTTTAATAGAAGTATTAATTGCACAAGCAGGGCATTCATTAACGTATGCTTGTACTTCTTCCTGTGTGATACCAATATGATTCTCTGAGATAGCCGAGTAAGTCTTATGGTAACTACGATGGTTTGCTTGATCATGGAAATGTTCTAATATTAACTTGCATAATTCATTATCGTACTAATTGGTTATTTTTTTTCATGTCTTCAACTGTCAGTTTGTCAATTTCCCAGACACCTATGATATTCAAAATATTTTGCTGGTTAAACCATGATCCAGTAATTTCATTAAATACTACTACTTCATGATTATTAAAATCGTTAAATCATTTTTCATTGGTATTGGGTACCTTTTTATACAATTTATCTTTCTTTTTAAAACTTTGAAATATTATATCTCCGAGATAACTTTTTCCGGTTCCAGGATCACCCCAGACAAAAATATTACATGGGGTTTCCAACAATGCTGTTTTTCTTCTGTTTTAATCTTTCAATAGATTTGGAGGGTTTACGTATAATGGCCTTGTTGACAGAGCAGGTATGCCGTAAAAGTTTCAGAGCTGAGAACTCTGCAACGAACGGCTGGTGCAGCTTGATGGGCTATCCCCCAGAATAATAACGTTTGGATTTGAGTGCGGTTTGAGTGCGGTCGCGATAGACACCTTTCATCCATATGGAAATTGCGATTGGTGTTAGGCGCGACAGACACCTTCATTCATATGGAAATGCGATGTCTTTTGATAGATTGATAAGAAGTTACACATAATTTGGGGTTAGATATCGGTAGTGTTACAAACATATAGGAAGCCTCATATGAAATTCCATAAATGGAGGTAGGCTAAAGTGGAGCAGATTCCGTGCCACAGCTGCTGCAGATCGTCGGAGTAGCCACAAACACCACAAGCGCCGCCACAAATCTGGTATCAGATCATAATTTGTTTCGAAAACAAAGTTCGCATTCGTTTCAGATTTTACAATTGACAACATCAGCTTTAACGCTACATGCGTTTTGTATTTGAACTTCGAATACGATGTTTGAACGCTGAAATGTCTTAATATTAAACACTTTATCTGATTAACGCACCATTCGTGCTTTTACTGTACTTACAGCATTAGAACGATGATACGTTTCAGAAGAACGTCTTGAATATTAATCATACAAAGGCAATCAATGGTCAATGGCATGACCAAAGGGATGGGACCAGTATAGTGTGGTTTCAGAACAACTATAAATTAGATAACTACGAAGCGATATTCTAGCCGAAAAATTGTCATATACAAAGGGAAGAATTGGTAGCCAAAGACTTACTGTTAATGAATTAATAGAGACAGTAGATAGTTTCATTGAAAACTTAAACCCGATTTTGAATAGCGATTTTTAAGAAAAATTTTGATTTGATCGTTATTATTATCACATCTGCAGCAGCTGTGGCTCAGAATCTATTAGACAAGCCACAAAAAAATTTTTCTTATATTACTAATTAATACTGGGTAAGCAATAAAAATCATAACATTAATAATGATTGTCATTTTATATTCATAAACGAATGCTTTTATTTTATGGTAATAAACGAGTAACAGTATCAAATAGTGGAAACCGTTTACATAAAAGCAATTCGATATCATCAAGTGTTAATAATAAAAATTATTGTTACTAACGTTGAATAAGTTATTGCTGCTTAGCGTATATGCTCTCAATACTTAATAATGACACTGTTATATATGAAAGTTTGCTGGTATGCGATATAGACAAAATATCAATACCGCTTATAGTTTATTATTGGTTGATAGTTGCAAACTCTCACACGTTTTTCTGAATAGATAACATTTACACTATAAAATTACGTGTGAAAGCAATTGAATCTAACACGCGAGAACAAACATTCACTTATTCACCCCCCAAAGCCTAAACACAATGCTATCTAAAAGTTAGATGTATAATGAACAATCCTTATCATCACTCCGAAAATTGAGTTCAATTTTTACGCACGCCTACTCATACACCCGGACGCACAGGAAAATGCGTATACATAATTTTCCCAATGTCACTTATAATAACATTTGTTCCTATAGTAACAAGGGAGCACGTTTAGTCGCTATCGCACGCTAAATTCCGAAATCGAAAAGCATTGTGATCAGGAAACTATCGATTTGACTGCAACGGGTTTTCCATCGAGATGTATTGTTCTCGTATTACGTAAATTATGCGAATTTGACATACTGGCTTCATATTCATACTTTTTAACAAAAAGTTGCGCTTACGAAGTACATGAAATAGCAGTCTGTCCTTTTGAGAGTATATGGTCATGTTCTTCGAGTCAACTACGGGTAGATTAGGAACTCGATTGCTTTCCGTCGTTAAAGTGGAAGTGCTAAAGAAGTCGTCGGATCATCGGAGACGAGGGGATGATCAAAACATGGAATCGCTTGCGGGGAAGACCACAGAGGGAGAAGGCAAGAGATACCAAGTTGTACCGACAACAAACCCCGAATTCCCTTGTAAAAGATATTTCTTTGATGGTAATGGATCGGGAAGCGCTTTATTATTATATGTTGGTTGAATCACGTGATTTCAGGAAAAAATTTCGGTCTGATTATGATCTGCACTCTTATTAATATTAAGTCTTTGAACTATCACTACTGCTGCTACTGCGATTACACCGAGGTCTATGTCAGAGTCAGAGTCCGAGTCAGGGTCTATGTTAGAGTCAGAGTCTACTTCAGAGTCACAATCTACTTCAGAATCAGAGTCTACTGCTATTACTTCAGAATTAGAGTCAATTACTACTACAGAATCAGAGTCAACTACAGAACTAGAGTCCACTTCAGAATCAATGTCAGAATCTAGTTCAGAGTCTATGTCAGAATCTACTTCGGAGTCTATGTCAGAATCTACTTCAGAGTCTATGTCAGAATCTACATCAGAGTCTATGTTAGAATCTATGTCAGAGTCAGAGTTGATGTTAGAGTTAGTATCATCATCACAATCAGAGTCTGATACCGAATCAGAATCTATGTCAGAGCTAGCATTTATGCCAGTTATGCCAGAGCCCGAGTCTGAGTCTGAGTCTGAGTCTGAGTCTGAGTCTATGCCAGAGTCTGAGTCTATGCCAGCGTCTATGCCAGAGCCCGAGACAGAATCAGAGACAGAATCAGAGCCAGAGACAGAATCAGAGCCAGAGACAGAATCAGAGCCAGAGACAGAATCAGAGCCAGAACCAGAGTCTATACCAGAGCTAGAGACAGAATTAGAGCCAGAGCCGGAGACTATGCCTGAACCAGAGTCTATGTCAGAGTCAGAGACAAAGTCCATGTCAGAGCTGGAGACAGAGTCTGTTACTATGTCAGAGCCAGCAGAGTCAAACCAATTATTGGAATCAGAGTCCAATACCGGATCAGCATCAACGTCTACATTAAATAAACCTGCATCTGAGGACATTAACATTATAAACAGCAAACATTCAGAATCAGAATCAGAATCAGAATCCCATGAGGACCAAGAACTAACGAATCTGGAATCCGATAGTGAATCGGCTGAAGAGACAGACACTGATGCATGTGTGGAAGAACAAATGCTATCGAGCGATCAAAAAAACAAGAAAGCATCACCAACACAGGTATTGAATATAATAACTTTCCATTTTGTGTACAGCTCTCCCCCGATATGCAATATTACATATGACATCCCCGCCCAAACTCAAATAGACAACAGAAACAGATGTTCCCAATCCGATTCCACTCCTGGACAGACCGAAAGCCGCTAAACAGTTTCGTGACTACTACATGACGCAGTTGACCCAGGGATTTGGAGAAGATCTTGACAAGGTTCGCAAGGTAATATGTTGTATGACGTACAGGAAAATAGCTTCAATAATACTTTTTATCTGATCTATGCATTAATGTACATTTAAATGATTTGTAAATTTCTATCAGGAAGAAGGTTTCAATCAGAACAAACTAGAAGTCTTGATTTCATCCCTCGAATCAGGAATAGATATCTATTCGGATCTAGAAAAATCACTTACTCTTTCCTCTATTTTAACCGACTAATGACCTGTGCGTATTCATCGCTCATAATGATCAGACCATCTCTCTCTACCCGAATCCATCGCTTGACTCCTTTCCGTTAGTCTTTGCATCGTCACTATCCTCATTACTGCCTGTTTGCACTTTGTGAAATTTTGCTTGCACAAACAGTCTGTCCACGCTCAAATGCTTTGCTTGGTTTGTAGTCTCACGCTGTATGAACTCAGCACTAATAGTTTTAAATCCCTCTGATTCAAACAAAGTTTTCAGGTACTCGATTGAAAAGAAATATGACATTGTGCCATCTTGTCGAATGTAAAGGTTTTCTTCGAGTTTATGATTTTTAGCGCTTGAGAATTTTAACTGAGCTGCATCGTAGATCCCATAGTCTCTGAAGCAGACGATAGAATTGGGTTTCATAATCTGCAAAAAAAATAAAATAAAATAAAACAAAAAAAAAAGCGATAATCGCTGAGAAGGTTTTGTAGGAAAGCGAGCAATAACAAATTTCGAGCCAAGTCAAGGTTGCTTACTTTTTTGATATTCCTGAGCGTGTCAGCATGCTTTTCGGGGGGAATGGCTGAAAAAACAAAAATCGCAGATACAAGATCAATCGTTTCCGGCTCGATATGTTGAACGAGATCATCTTTGGTTAGGTCAACTACAAAAGCGTTACACCTTGATTCGTCATATTGGGGATGTGACTAAAAATCATCGAAAAGGTGAGTTAGGCAATTCCCAGAGCAGTTACATTGCCTTGTAGGGATTACCTTGACAAATTCTATTGCTCGCTTAGAGAAGTCACATGCATATATGAAAAGAGATGGATTGGCCTCGAGCACGGGAAAGATGAAATTGCCAACTCCGCAGCCTAATTCTAAGACTTTCTAAAAAAGCAGCGAATGGATAAATATAGTCTCATTTATACCATGGTCATCTCCCTTTCAGAGGTGACGTTTTTTTTTTTCGCATCCTGTTATTTCGAAATAACTATCTATACCTTTTGTTTGGTGGTCTCATTTAGCTCCTCAAACTCTCTTCCGATCCAATGTCTATCCTTAAAGAATTTGGTAGTATTTCTCTTGTAGAACAAGTCCCTAACGCAAAACTTACTCAATAAACAGAGCATAGCGAAAACGTCCGATAACCAATAACTCAACTCACCAATTTTTGGCAGCATCTGTTCGATACTTATTCTGCCAAAATAATGGAATATTCTCTGTATCCTTGGCAAGAATAGATTTAGCTTTTTGCTCGAGATCGGAATTCATAAAAGAGTTCTGAATTCTTCAATCGTTAAAAGATGACGTATAGTTGTGTTACGCATTCAATAAGAGGATAATAAGTGTGAACTGTTAGAGAATGGGAATGGGCGGACAAACTGTGTACAAACGATCTCGAAACGTTAATATTGGTGCTAATAATAGTGTAAATGTTTGGCAACTCTGTTTAACATCTTTGGAAGGATTGCCAAGCAAAAGTCGAATTGGCATCATTTCTACTTGTGTTCGATATATGCAAATTCGGGCCGCTTTTATTAGTAGAATTTGTAATTGGTTAATATTAAGAGGGACATGTGATTAATTTTCAGTCCCATCCATATCAATGGACCTGATGATTTAACTCTTATTTGAACCTTTCCTAGCTACTGGTAAAGCTAATTCTCTTCCTCAGTTGATGCCTGTGCTACGGTTTACGCGTATCTACGCTAATTTCTATAGATAGACATGGTGGTGCCTCGATATACAGGACTTCTATAAAAAGGAATTCTTTGTATCGCCATCTCATTTTGCCTTTTACCCGCAATCATCAGAGAAGGTAAAATGGAGAAGCATCGATTTAATACGTTTCGCTTTATACCCGTATTACTCTCCGTTTCAAAGTATAGGTTGTTTGTGACATGTGAATAATCTTCTGCTGTAGACATTACATGAGAAATTTGATATTTAGATGCTATATCAACTATTCGTGCACACCTTATCTTATTATAAATCCACTTTTGGTTCCCTGCACTAGTCCATATAGGTCTGATGTGTATTGCGTATGTAACGGTTCTAATATACGATTAGTCAGCTTTAGGGGTTGTTTTGTATCAAAAATGCGACACACGAGTTGCATTCGATCCTTTATCTTTCAGACGGCATCACATCACAAGATCGATAATATGGAAGAGAACGTTGACTGAAAAAAAACAGCCACTCATTTAAACGTTAGAAATTACTCGTTTCAACACGCATATAACACAGAAGTTGACAAGCAAGTTTTCGGTACAAGTATTGATAGATACATGAATGAACACTTTAGTAGAAACTTTACGATAATAAATTTCCGTATTTTTTTTTCTCAGATAGCAATTTCTATACCGATCAAAGTTGATTAGTTTCATACTGAGCACAAATGCCCGTTGGGGCCTGTCTCCAAAACATCAATAGAGAAATTTCGGGTGTTTGATGCATACAACACTTGTCATTCTGTCAGGTGAGAATGTTGTACTACGTCGGAGTACGGAAAGCCATCACAATAATAATAACAATAATAGTGATGATGTTTCTAATCCGACCGCAGTTTTATTTCTTACAACAATCGCATAAGCTACCACTTTCGATATTGCGCAGCCAACCTCGAATGTAACAATTACACAAATGTCACGCAGCCGTAGACAATCGACTTGTTACTACGTTAATACAACAGACAATGCTTTGGAACATTCCCAAAAGTTATAAATACCCCATCATCCTACATGAATCTCCCTGTTAAAAACCAGCGAAATGGGCAATTCCAACTCTCATTTTTATATCCCATCAAGGTCTTGGCGCCGTAAAAAAAAACTTCAGCTCTCCCCCACAACGACTCTCACTAGCTTATCTGAACCGCCCCAATCAGCTAAACAGTTATCGGAGGCTGCAGGAATGAAGCTGAATTACTATTGCGACCATGAGTCGGTCGAATGGAAGAAAGAATGTGAAAAGAATGAGACAGGCGAGAAATTGGAGCTGCCTGAATTGGACAAGTACTCGTACGTATTGGGTTCTTTCGCACAGTCAAAGTGGTAATAGTAAAGACAGTGAAAACTAAATCATTATCTCCGTCTTTTATGCTTATATCACGTGATGATTTGTCATGTGGTGTTTAAACAGTAAAACATTCAAAGCAGATTCAACTAATAACGTGGTGTTGAATGCGATCGCTGAGAGTGACATAACCAAAGTACTCTTAAGGAGAGATGTGAGTGTCCCGCAGTGATTATCTATGAACCGAATTTATAATCGGAAATGTTAAAAATCGTCAACATTCAATCTTTCAGATCCGAATTGCCGACCTGCACACATTTAGTGAGAAGATTGAAATAGAGGGTAAAGCCACGGATCAAAAATCATCGGGACGATGTTGGTTATTCGCTGCAACAAATGTATTACGACTACATATCATGAAAAAGTACGTGGGAATAAAAGTTCAAAATATTAAACCAACAATCAACGATCAGCAAAACTACTGACTCGTCATTTTGTTAACTATCGAAACGCTAATTTACCTTTGCAATTCTTCTTGCGGTGTCTATTTCAGATATAATCTAGATGATTTCGAATTATCACAATCGTATTTATTTTTTTACGACAAGTTGGAGAAATCGAATTGTAAGTAACATAATAACAATCCCCTAACTCTGCTCGATATAGACACGTATCCCCGGATTTTCTTTTGCTTAATGGATATAGTTTTCTTGTATATGCTTGTAACCCATAGCTGACTCTCTTCTTTTCAAATCATCGTTAACCCGTAGGGTTCCTTGAAAATATGATTTCACTCGTTGAAGAACCAATTGAATCCCGACTCATCCAATATCTCCTCTCTGATCCGGTTTCTGACGGCGGACAATGGGATATGGTGCTCAATCTAGTCGGCAAATATGGCGTAGTTCCGAAAAGCGTTTTCCCCGAAACCTACCAATCCTCAAACTCATCTCGCTTGAACTCTATTCTAAAGGCAAAATTGCGGGAATATGCGTGTGAAATAAGAGAATTGCGCAAGCGAGGAAAGGACGTAGTAGCCATGAGAACAGCAAAAAAGAAAATGATGGAGGAGATTTACAGAATTGTTGCGATTGCGCTGGGTGAGCCACCAAAAGTGTTTGATTGGTGCTTTAGAGATAAAAGCGGCAAGTTTTGCGAGTATACCAATTTGACGCCCGAAAAGTTCTTTAATGAATTCGTCGGATACAAGGTAAGATATGTTGATAAACGAGAAATGCTACCGATCCTGATAAAAATACGTGCTTGACGTTATCTTTTGTTTACTCTCTTGTCATTTTCCTCCCCTTAGGCCTCCGAAACCTTTTCTCTGATAAATGATCCCCGTAATCCATACAACCGTCTATATACCGTAGCCTATCTCGGTAACGTCTCAGGCGGAGTTCCAATCCGATACGTCAACATACCCTCTTCCAAAATGCAATCGATAGCCATATCCGTCTTGCGTTCAAAAAAACCTGTTTGGTTCGGGGCTGACGTCGGAAAGTTCTCCAACTCTCGCCTCGGAATTCTCGATAACGACATTTACGATTATTCTCTTGGATTCAATATCAGCTTCAACATGACTAAGGGAGATAGATTGCAATATGGCGAGTCAGCGATGACTCACGCAATGGTGTTCACCGGTGTACATTTGGAAGACGGGAAGCCTATTAGATGGAGAGTAGAAAATTCATGGGGTCGGGATAGAGGTGATGAAGGATACTTTGTTATGTCGAACGATTGGTTCCATGAATGGGTTTATCAGATCGTAGTTGAGAAGGGAGACGTTGAGAAAGAGGTGGTAGATGTATTAAACCAAGAACCTATAGTATTAACGGCATGGGATCCGTTGGGGTCGTTGGCTATTGAGTAGCATAAGAAGAAATTACATGGACATTGGGCCTTAATATTCATATTAATGGATGTAAATTGTTAAATAGTTTTGGTTATATAGTAATTATAATATAAACATTCGTGCACGCGCTAGAAGATCATCTCACTTATTTTGATATTTGATACAACGTGTATAACTATTATTTAAAAGTATCCGAGCGAAACAGTAATTGCTGAGAGAATAGATAAAAGCTTCCGAACACTTTCTCACCCAATAATCGACCTTAAAGCTTTTTAGCATATAAAAATTTACACTTGTCATTAAATTAGATGGCAATTTTTATAAATACGGATTGTTACTCCGCAGTTAATGATCTCGGAATGGTCCTAAAGCTATCACTACTTACATTACGGCTCCGTGTTGTTCGTTCTTCACCTTTTCCCCCATTTTTTGAAAAAGATGAATAAAACAAGAGCAACTTTATTTTTTATATCAACAATTGAGCAACATGTAAGATATGTGTTCGGAGACTCCTCTGTGATGTTAACTTGTATCCATAGTGGCAGCTGACGGCTTCTTCTTGGTCACAGAACCTGCAGAATGTGGGGTTTCGTCAATTAACAGCCATACGATGACATTTACAAATAATCTGAAATCCTACCTTCACGGAAGCCATTCTTGAATCGTCGAGTAACGTGTTTCAAATGTCGCATTCTGCCTGTTCCAGTTGTCTTCCTACGTTTGCCTTTTACAGACCAATTATCTACATGCAATCAAGAATAAAACCACTTGATCAGCATGTTCGTATGTACTAATCCCCTTCTCTATTATTATTAATTGGGACTCTCTCTGATGTCCGTCAGCGATATTGCTTATAGTTGTAAACCCGTTTCACCGCAATAACTTACAACTTCTTGTCTTGGGCGATGGATACCCGCACTGAGCACATGTTTTCTTTTGGTTATGGAATGCACGTCTTCCACAACGACGGCACAGAGTGTGGGTCTTTGTATGGCGTTTGCCAAAGCTTGAAGTGCCCTTTGTCTGTTAAAGAAATTGATATTATGAATAAATTAGAAATGGATCTTTGCTGCTTTGGCTTTTTTACAGAGTTTATTGTAATTTGTCGACAAATCAGCATACCATATTCTATCAAAGGGATGTGCGAAAAGAGGAGGGAAACAAAATTTTTTGCTTTTTGATTTTATGTCACATTCTCGAAACGTGATTGGATGTTTATTTGATATTATGTGTAATTATAATACGTATTGGTTTGTTTAATCTACCTCACCAAAATGTTGGATCTGCCGATCTAGTTATGAACGCCAGGCTTGCTAGTCCAAAGGAACAAAGAAGCTTTCAATGAGCAACTCAAATTCTCGGGTTTGAACGCGCAGAATCGGCGTTTACCCGTAGTAAAACGATTAACTACACTTTATTAAAGTGGTTATTATGTTGTTCAAGGAAGTGGAATGCCCATAAGGAATTACGTTCGCGTTCTGCGACGGCTGGAAGAGCAGCTTTTCTGAAACTGATTTAATCAAATTTAACATTATTCGAATTGGTAAATATGCATCGATATCATTTCAGGGCGTTTATATCGGATCTACTTGGAGTAAGGGAGAATACTAACTCGAGTGTATAAATTGAAATAGATTGTAATTACAAGTTGATTCAAAATTAAGAGACTATGCTAATGCTTGTAAATTGGCTTAATCTAATGTCAACACATATCTGTTTTATTCAACATGAGAGTTTGCACGCTCCTTCTCGAGACGTGATAATGATCTCACATTATAGTATCATACGCGTTACTGCAAACCAAGTTTTAATACGATGGCCAAATTTCCCTTGCACATGGACATAGTCAAACTCGTTATCTGTAGAGGGTGGGCAATCAAATAGTTAATTATATTAAAACGTCTGGTTTCAAAGTAACTTGCAAATAGAAAAAGCTTCCGGTACAATAAAAATTTTGACTTTTCACAAAGTCACTGATTGAAAAAGCCCCAAATCGCATATGTACGCCATAAAAGTCTGTTGCTGTCTCAAACTCACTGTCATCACGCAAACTATGTTTTCACCATAAAGATTACAACGCACGATTTTGCCCCTATAAATGTACATTCGGACCATATGCAGAACCGTTTCCTTCCGTTTTACTTTTAAAGACTGATAACCGTTTTTTTTTTAATACAATACAAACGCTATAGTTTTATTTTACGTCAACTTGTAATTTCAGCTATAGTTCAAATCAAGTCAAAGATTGCTTACCTCGGTATAACTAAGACTGCGTCTAACCCAGCCTTTAAACATGTCGCCTCAACTGCAATCAAAAACCATGTTGTACCTCAGTTAGTGATCTGTCTGAGCTCTGGACCGAGTGACTGAGTTTTTTCAATTTTAACGTCGACAATTCAATCGTAAAAATAGCAATAATGTATAAAATAATACAGCCAAATTCTAACTGGCACGTGTATAATATTTTTATACATAAATTACGTATAGTTTTTATGGGTATACTCGATTCAATAAATATACTAGACTTGTTATTAAAATAATGTCAATTAACATACAACACTGTATATTTGCAAGTCTATACGACATAATATCATGCATGAGCGATTGTTGTCGATGTCATCGTCACTGTTTATACGCGTGGCTTATTATTTTAAGGAATGGAAATTTTTATTGTTCTGTTACACTAATACGTTAGTCTGAGTTTGTAATTAGCTTTATTACTGGTTAACAAAAATATTATTACACTCCTTTGCGCACAGCCACTGTTATTTATACTTATACAGTTGTGTCATCTTCTCATCTAACACGCGACACGCGTCTACTCAGACATATATATACCTAAAAAATTTTCTCCATCGCACTTTATCGCTCTTTCTCCTCTTCTCTTCCAAAACGCCAATACAACACTATCAAAAACAATCTTCTGACGCCGCTCCACATTACGCTTATACAAACAAACGAACGAACAAGTTATTAACGGCAGAACTCTTAACACTCAATGACGACCGTTTATCGACCGCATAACCGATGAGAGAATTCGAACATACAAACCGAACAAACAAGTCTTGTTAACGGTGCGACTCCTAACAACTCACAACGACACGGTTTATCGACTAGAAAGTTTGAACAAGACGCCACTCTATTATATCACACGAACAAGTTATACTCATAACGACCGTTTGTCGGCCACACAAAGTTCGAACATAACGCGTACGCAAACGAACAAGTCATACTCTTAACATTTGTAACAACCGTTTATCGGCCACACAAAGTTTGAAAATAACGCGCGCGCAAACAAACGACGACGACAAAATCTTTAACGCTCAATAACGACCGTTTATTAACCACGTAACCGATGAGTTCAATCACAACTCCAACAAGTCTTTAACGCGGCGAAAATCCTAACATTCAATGACGATAACTTTCAACCATATAACCGATGAAGAGGTTGTGCCCGAATGCTTCCGCCCAGCAACGCGACGAGCTTTTTACAATTCCCATACAAAAAAGTTTGAAAACATGTTTCAGGCTTTCGTATTGCTACTCACTCTTTTACTCGCGAGGAAGTTGATCTTCTTTGCTCTGTCCTAAAGTCCAAGTTTAACTTGGAGACTTCTATCCACCCTGATCGAGGCGGTCGTTCATTATTGTAAGTACATCATTAACTATTCATTTATACGATCCTTTTCAACAAACAGGTTATTATATCGTTATTTACTTATCTGCAAATATTTCTCTTTTTTTTTTTTTTACAGCTTCGTCGATCGAAGCTATTGCACAACAAACTCGCTTCCTAGGCTGATCACTGTCTCGACCTGGCGGACGGGCTGCGGATCAAGAACAAATAGCGAGTAGTTACGGGTCTCGCCACTCTCCCTGTGACACCGGCGGTGATGTGATCCCGGCACGGGTCCTGAGGAAGTGAGTCACGGGGGATGCCCGGATCACACTCGGACATCTCCTTTCTTCTCTTTTTTTTACTGCACACAGCTTTAGATGACGGGTAGAAGGTTTTGGTAAGTATAAAGGTAAGTTCGCATTGTTTCACGCTATCACACTAACTCTATTTTCTTTTTTTCCCTTTTTCTTTCCCTTGGTGGGTTCGCGGGGTGATCGGATCCAATGGTACACGTGGAAGTGGAAACGAGCACCAGAGACCCATACGGTAACTACTCGCTATTAATGAATAATCTGTCCTTGAAGCAGAGACGAGAAGCCAGCGAGAGCAATAGCTTTGGATTCTTTTTAACGTAATTTTAATAACAACAAAATTAGTATTAATATGTTTATAGTATTTGTAATATTTATTTCAAAGATTCGATGTAAAAATATCTCATATTATTATAAATAAAATTTTACTCATTGGAAAAAGATTCGTCATTTATCATTGGTTTATCTTTATTTTATGCCCTAATTCCTATTTTGAAAGTGTAAACTCATTCTCGGCAGCAAAATTAATCTGCAGGGCACTGTCAATGAACGCATTCATCGCAGTTCTAAACATTTTACTGACTGCATAACTGACAGCGTCAAACCTGTAATAGTTGCAGTTTCCTAGATCGGATTTTTTTTGTAAAAGGTCATTCTGCAAGCGAGTACAATAATTCCTTGCTGTTTCGGGAAATTCCAACTAAAACACTGTACTTTGCTCTTTCAACAGGAACACGTAATAGTATCAACAATGTGATTAAAAATAGGTCTATAAAAAATTACAAAACACGCAGTTTCATGCTATTCTCTGTATTAGATACGTAATAAAGCATTATTTGGTGTTTAGCATTTATTCGCATGTGATTCGTATGCCGAAACAGCTCGTCCCGATTGCGGTCCTCTGATATTGCGTGTATCAGAATCAACTTTGCAGCTGTATACGAGTCCTTGTGCGGCAAGGCTACGCAGCGGGAAAAGCAAAACGAGACGCTGCTCAAGTCCAGCTATGTAATTATGCAGATTTTGGCATAATACTACCAATTAACGTCCAGGAACCAAGACTCTTAAAAAATAAAAAGATAAGACCCCTATTAGTAGCCTGTGAGTGAAGCAGACCAAGCTATACAATATATTTATCCATCGTTTGTATGAGATTTACTATATAGTTTACTAGAACGTGGTAAGTATTCATCGGTGAGTGAGTTCTAGCCAACTGTCAAGTTATTGGAGATATTTAGAGGTGAGCCGCTGGACCCCGCATAAAGAGAAAATTTCATTTCAAGCATTTAATTGCTATAATCGCTACTTTAGAAATGGCTTCCTAATTTAATTTAAATCATCGTCATCATTACATAGTCTGCTCGATAAAAAATGTACCACAAAAATGGCCATAGAGATAATGCTTACTTTCTTACTGTAAATGTTGCGATAATAATAACAATAAATTGCAACCGATTGGTGGACATGATCAGCTGTAATTCATTCTAGTTAACTCATTTTTCTGCGTAGAATTGAGTGTACGTCATAAAATTAAACGTTTTAATCTTGTTCATGCATAATCTTCGATTATGAGCAGCGCATATATTCTGACGCGAAATTGTGTGATTAGCATAATTACCTGTATTGTACTGAATCCCATATTTCATAATCCGCAGTTTTGTAATCAAACATTCCAATAGCTTTATATTGTATGCATAGTGTGTTTACTACAATAGATGAGACATGGGGATATCTTTTCGAATTGTTGGTTACTCTGTTACTATTATTATGCTATTATCGTGCTATTATTATTATGTGCCATCTATCAATGAATTAACGATTTATGCTTACATGTGGAATGATACTTCTTTACTTTCTCGCATATACATGCATTTTCTTATACCACTATGAGACGAGAAGCATTCAACCCCAAAGAATCATAACATTCTACCCTGCCTGCTTTTGGTACCAGTCTAAGGTCCTCACCCGTATTAATGACGCGCCTTTGAGCCCATTCGTCAACATGCTTTTACATCGGGTTACTGATAAAATCGTACTTTTTTTGAATTGTTCAACCAAACACAATAGTCGTGGCGGAGTAAAACTATAACTCTCAGATATCACACATGTAAGCAATTTTTCATGTGACAGAAATGCGCAATGCAGTCCTTTTATTACAACATCTTGTGTTAAATGCATATTGGGGGCCTGCGCAAAAACCAAAAGGCACTGCTCTAGATCTATGTTTCCAGTATGCCAAAGGCGATTGCTTTGCAAAAAAGAATCCCGAGAATATTCGAATTAGTTTTCACATGAAACGAGCGTGACTAGAAAAAAAAATGCGATAGTATGTGTGTATGTGTGCGTGTGTGCGTGTGTGCGTGTGTGTGTGTGTGTGAGAATGTGAGAGAGTATGTGTGTGTCTGTGTGTGAGAAGAGAGATTGTCTGTTGGGACAAGTAAAACTTTTCTTACTATTCAGCATCTCTTCATTCATTCCTTCCCCCTCCAGCCCCGGCCCCGACTTTAACCCTGACCACGACCTTAACCCATGACCATGATGACCACAACCACGACCACGACCACGATGACCATGACCATGACCATTGACCATTGACCATTGACCATTGACCAATGACCAATGACCCCAACCACGACTTCTACGCCAGCCTTATCTATTTTTAATAATTTCCATAATCGTATCTAGCGAAACTAAAAACTTGAAACTCCCCGTGCTTGGTTTTTTGGCTCGGCACACGAAAAATCCATTCATAGTTATATTTGTTTTTAGCACGCTAGTCTTTTTTTATAAGGAATTATTTAGTTGGCGTATGTGATGATCTCTTGCACCAAACGTATAATCGCACACAGTATCCATTCGTATTCGTAATAATTATTACCAATTTAACTTGCATGTATTGAATATGATGTCAGATGATGATAATATGATTGGATGTGCATCTATGATGTATTTGTACAGCACGCTACATCTTTCTCTCCGCCTCTAACTATCCATTTTTTTTCCTGCCCTCACTCTTTTTTTTTTTTTTTGCCTTTCTTCGCCTTTCCTTTTCTCTCCCCCTTGTTTATTATCTTCAAACCTTAATTTACTATAACCAATCATCTATGACTATGATTGAACGTATAACCAATGAAACACAATACTTTGTTGTGTGATAGTTTATTTCCATTCATAATATGGGTAAACAATGCGTGCATGTTATAACTTGTTTGCGAAATGTGGGATAGTGTGACTTCACGTTCTATCTGGACGGGAAGAAAGATGTGAATGGCGATGTACAATGGATGGAAAATATATATAACGCAATGATCACTTTTTTGGATGAATGTAGTATTGTTGTTAACAGCAGTTTATGGTTAGTGGTTAATCGACATTGCGTACATGTAGGAGGTTCGGTCGCTTGTTTTCCGATAATTGGGCGGAAAAAAAAAAGGCCTATCTTTTTTTCGCTCTTATGTTAGTTGCAAATCACATGCAGGGGTAAACGATTTCACTGGTAGGCAATCCTGGACGAGGCAAGTAAACACACACACACACTCACACACTCACACACTCACACACGCACTCTTCTCTCTCACCTGTATATACATGTCAAAGTTATCGGGCAAAATGTTACACTTTGTGCTTGTGATTTATTTTTGATACAAATTTTTACTTGTGCTGACGAACAGACCAAGAAGGGTCTCGGAATTATAAATTCTTTACACACTTATGTATAATGTATGCGTGATTGTCGATCAGCGTAAATTTGACGTCCTTTTTTTTTAACCCTGCCCGAATGGGATTTCACAAACAGGGTTTTCCCAATTAACGTCAAGTTCTTTAGTCACGGAAATTACCGGATTAAGACAGATGTAACCAACATACACCAACATACATTATCTCGATTAACAAATTATGGGTTCTGACACGTGGAATATCCTAATGTCACGATAATACGTCAAAAGTGACAGCAGAATGGAGGGAAGGCATAAAAATATCGCAAGACATGTAACGCTGCATATTATACATTCTCTGACATCTTTTTGGATTTTTGTCGAACATGTTGGGGCGGAAAAAGACACTGTTATCTGTTTCGCCCTGCCTGCCTGCCGTAACAATAATGGTAATAGGAATTAGCCAAGCTTTAAGGTTGATTGATAATATGACGTAATACGTAATTAGACCATGTATAAACTTACAATAGGATTCAATGGACAGGCACATATAAAAATGTCATTTACATACATTTGGGAATTAATATTGTATATCTTAATAATTGTTTATTTATTAACGTTTCAATTATAATGTTACTTTATAATTTGGTACTAGTGTAGTACTTAATATATTGTACAAGCGTACGTTATCAAGGCACAGCCATCTTATCAAACAAGAAAATTTTGGCAGGACACAGTCCACCTTGCAATGTTGGCGGGAACAATCGGTGAAAGGGGGGGGTGAGATGGGACCCCAACGGATGGGTAGAAATGATAAGACGGAGTCATTATGGTCATCATGGTCATTGTGGTCGTTATTATTATGACGAAATAATGGGGGTTGGTATTGTTACAATAATTATTATTACTATATTAAATGTTGATATTAGTATTGGGTATCTTGTATTGGCATCCAAGTATTGGTATTAAGAATGGACCGGAAAGAACAAAGGAAACGCTTTATAATAGTAAACAATATTAATAATTCCATTCAAAAAGAATATTTATTCACGCAAAAATGGGTGATGCAGATTCTTCTTTGGGCAATCCTCAATGCCATCTGCGTAACATTTGTAACATTCGGAGGGCCCGTGAACCCTCTCATACCATCTAAAATCTACAATAAAGATAGACATACATATCACATTACACATCAACATCACAACGATATGTTTGAAGAGAAAAAAAAAAAAAGCAGGACTGGTGATAAGAGTGGGAAGGGACAAAGAGGGCAAATAACATGCGATTATGCTTATATTGTTTATAAATAGTAATAGTAACAACAAGGTGATGATCAGATACTAGTTACTCGCTTGCATTATTTTAAAGTTCCATTACTGCGGCATATCGTTGGACATCCTTGGCGATATCATTGGATATGATTTAGTAAACATGGGTTTTTAGATAAGAATAAACACCCGCATGAAGATTGACATTTTTTAACGCACAACAATCTCGTACCTGATTATCCATTCTTCGTCGGCTTTTGCATTTCACATGTTGTAATCGCAATGCGGATTTCTCATTGATTACTTGTTAATTAACAGCGTCGATATATTTTATAGACTTTGCCATATAAATTACATATGCCCGAGATATTCAAGTGATTGTGCACATGCGTTCACATAGATATTTGCGTTGTTACCAAATCCGGACGTACATAAAAACGAAAAAGTGTACATCAAACATGTATATTATCTAATATATACATCAACATACAATATTATAATGTTTAGCCCCTTGATTAGCATGTGATTGAATTAAGTCCTTTGAAATTTTTTATACATACTTTAAATAGTCTAATATCACAAATCACCAACTAATCCATCACACATTACACACACACATCCCCTCCCCTTCCCCCCCTTCAACGAATAGGGCTTTGACAGTAAAGTTTATAAAATTGTAGACTTGACTTTTTTTTTTTTTTTAACAAAACCAAACAAAAGCTAAAAGCTAAAAGCTAAAAGCAAAACCAAAAACCAAACCAGACCAGACCAGACCAGACCGAGAACTAAACTCTCTCCCTCTCTCGTTCTCTCTCTCTCTTCCAAAAGAGCAATTCTATAAACCAACTAAACAAGCATCTTATCATTAACCATATATATCCGAACTCGGTTAACTATCCTCGTTAACAATAACTGCATACTATACCTTTCTACGCCACTCGTACTCGTCCCGAAATAATTAACTTGCTATTTCTCATCTTTCACACACACTTATGTTATGTCTCTCAATACAACCCACACTGGTACCCATGACACTATCAAAAACACTATGCAACGATAGCTTTGTAACAAGCGAGCATCACCTTATCAAACACTTTACAAACACTGAACTTGGTTCGAAAGAGAGGCTACTCATCGAGGACAATGTCCGAAGCGAAATTAACAATGAACCTATGGACAATACAAGAGAAGAGAAAGTTAGTGAAACTAGTGAAAACACAACATTGGAAAGCGATATACGGAACGAGTGTAGTAATAATATTAATAGTAATACGGGTGAGAAGCAAAGTGAGGAGGAAAATGATAATGAGAATGGGTCTCAGGAAAGCGACAAGAGTAGTTTCAGTGGGGAAAAGACGGCGATACCTGTTATTAAGAGCCAAACAAGAATGTAAGTTGTTAACCTTTAGTTTTTCACAAAAGTGTGAAAGTCATATGACATTTCCTATGTCTTGAAAAAAAGAACAAATCTGTTCCTTTCCGTCCCTCAAATCTTGTTTACTCATACTAACCCCATTTATGTCCCCATTTTTTTAAAAAACCTTTTTTTTTTTTTTTTTGCTCACGCTGATCGATCACCAACAACGCAAATCAATCAATCCAACTGTAAATCCAACCATTTGTAAATCCAATCAACTGTAAATCCAACCATCTGTAAATGCAACCAACCAACTAACCAACCAACAGAATAACATCATATACACCATTTACATTCACAATCCATCTCTTAATAATTGCTCAACATTTATACACGCTATTCACCACCCCCACAACACTTTACCGCTGGCACCCGTCCTCGTTCACGCATCTGGTCTATCTCGCAACAACGTTATTTCACGTGTGTACATTACTTGCAAACGTATTAAAACAATCACGTATTGAGCGAGCGTTTGTACTATACGGAACATGGATCGTATGGTCGGGCTGGGCCATTTGTCTGAGTTTGATCGAACGTAACGAAATCAAAAGGGAAGAGGGTAAAAGCTGGGACCTGTCTGCCGAGAGAGATGGTGACGAGTTTGTTATCAGCGAATTAAAAGGTACCGAGTTGCCTCCATTTTTGGTTCATTCGGATTGGACATCAACGTTCTTTCCTATTCTCTCGTTCCTGCTGCTACTCACGCTTCGTCGTGGTCATTGGGGTCTTATTACGTGGGAACATTTGGTGTTACTCGAAGCCACGTCTCATCTCAAGTGGTATCGTATATGGTGTTTATCCGGGGCATCGGCGGGTTGGATCCTCTTTTGGGAAGGTGTAAAATACTATTTCCACATTGCTCTCATTTATCGAACTGATCTGACCGCGTTTCCTGGAATAGCTGGTACCGTGTGGACGAATCTATGGAGTGGAATGTTATTGGCAATGTGGTGGAGTTTTTGGACATTTCAATACAGAGGAGTGGTGTGGAAGAGAGAGCTTTTGGAAGGTGTTGCAGTCTGGAGTGATGATGATGGATGGGTCAGAGTGGGGGGTGTTGGACAAGAAAAATTAGGATAAAAAAAGAAAAACTATCCCCAAAACAAACAAACAAACAAACAAATCATGGGAAATTTTTCGTAATAGTAATTCAAAAATGCCAGGACTTTATATACATACATATATATATATGGACGTTTTCTAAAGAAAGAAGGAAGAATTATTCTTCTTGTTTATTTCTTTTATTAGCTTGTTATTATTATCATTTCCCTTTTTTCTTCCCCATCCACAAAATTCAATTCAGTTTGATGAAAGGAAAAAAAAAGTAATCATTTATCATTTATTTCATTTTACCTTTTATTCTCTTAATACTTTTTTTTTTTTTATAATCACATGGCGTTTGTATATTCTCGTCTATTTTCCTTTTCCCCTTTCCCCTTCTCCCCCTCTCCCCCCATTCAGTCATCAGAGTGTAACTTGTAAATACTACACACACACAAAAAAAACATTGATTGCATAGTGTATAACAGTTTTTTTCTTTTTGAAAAATAATAAAATTGTTTAATAATTTTAAATCGCAAAAAAATAACGATGCAAGATGACAGATTTTCGCCACATCACGTATATTGGCTTGCGCAGCTTTTGTGTAATTTTTACCTCTTAAAAAAAAAACATCCGATCGCGTTTTCCCATTTTGGTTGCCAGTTTCGAACGATAGCAAAAACTTTATTTTTTAAAGTTTCCCCCACTTGCAGAAAGGTTTGTTTGCCCCATTCCCAAAGATGGTAGCGCAAATAAAGAAAACTTTAAGACAGGATAGGATAACAGAAGAAAAGAAAAAAGAAAAGAAAGAAAAGAAAAGAAAAGAAGAACACAACAGTAACTCGCAAGACCCGCAAGACCCGTAATGGCCGCTCTTTTTAACGTTTGACTTTTCCCATAGTCGATATATTGTGTGAAATTGCCATATCATATGTCATATCATGCGTGTTGATAACTTTTGTCAAAAAGGGCTTAGCTCGACTATTAGCTTTCATGACGCGCCCTCGGTTCAAAAACTTCCCACCACACAAACAAATGACGCAAAATAGCAAACCAGTTATTGTTTCAATGACAAAAATAAAACCTTTTGCAAGTCCTCTTCCCGCACGTTCTCATAAACGAATCGTCTTTTTAATCGAATACGTCAAAACGAACGACTATTTAATCTACTCTCGATCTCTCTCATTCTAAACCAACAAGAGTCAAAAGTCCTTTGCCTTACCACTTTTCACCTGTCCATCTTACCCGCCGCCTCTCGTTTCTTCTCACCAGGATTGGAACACGTTTTCTGTCATTTCAACAGCCTGTTTAGGATTATTTTTGTAATAAACAAAATGTCCCTGTAACTGGGCAGGACTGATTGCGCGTCCTTTTGTTTTCCTGACAAACTCGTCTGCCAAACTCTGTTCGTTCTCGTAAAACCTGAGGAACATGTGCTTGATTTGATAGTCGGTAGCGTTACCAAAATATTCTTTCAAGTCTATCCGACCAGGACGAATCAAGGCTTGATCAAGTCGTTCGACGTGATTGGTTGTCATAAATATTATGCGTTCCTCTGAAGCAGCTACACCGTCTAGAGCGTTTAGCAGACCGGAAAACGTGACCATAGAGGGGTAGCTTAATGCGATAAGATAAAAGAAAGAAAAAAAAAAAAAAGAGCAAGTGAGTAATATGTTTGCGTCAACGAAATGATAGAATATGACAAGTTGGGTTAGTATAAACACATGGTCCGACTCAACCCCTCCATACAAATTTTGAAAACCAAAATTTCAAGATTAAAAAAAAAAATAATTCAAGCCAACCCCTGCCCATCGTCCTGAAGCTTTCGAGATGTAAACGCTGCATCAATGTCCTCGAGCAACAAGATACTCCTCTCTGGCGCGTTGCTCAACAAATGATTTAATCTATCATCAGTTAAAGCGCGTTCGCCAAGGTTCAAGATACATATGTTGTATCCCAACTCTCCAGCGAGAGCTTGGATGAAACTGCTCTTACCGCTACCAGGTGGACCGTAAAGTAAATAACCACGACGATAAGGTATGCCTTTTTGAAAGAGATGGTGATTATGTATGTTAGGAACAACTGGTTTTTTGGACGAGTTTGCATAATAGATTTTTTATACAACGTGTCATATCATAGCTATTACCTTACTGGGGGGAGGAAATTATTATGTTTCTAATCTCCATACACTTTTCATTTCTCTCTCTCTCCCTCTCCCCGATTCCATAAAAACATACCTCTCTCACTATACCATTTCCCATTCCCGATAAATTCTTCAACATCCGTAACGATCCTTTCCTTCACACCCTCATCCAAGATTACCGAACTCAACAGACGCCTCTTTCTCGGTAATCCGAATGGTTTCCATTCCGGTCCCCAACTAGTATATATCACAGTTTTGCCCTCTTGTTTCGCCAGAGCTATCTCTCGAGATTCATGGAGAAGTTCGGTAAAGAGATGTCTGTCGCGAGAGAGAGTGGTTAGAGTTACAGTTTCAAATGGGGTGGTTGTTATCAAGTCGATAGCCTTGTCTCTATGGCGTTCGATCTGAAATTAAAAGATGGTCATTGATAAAAAGTTCGAGTCCAAGTGGCGGGTTTGGTATCATCCGGATGTCATCCTAACAAAGAACACACACACATACCCACACACACACACACCCCTACCTACCTGGAACCACGCACCCTTCCACTTAAAATAATGTCTTCCTGGACCAGGAACTAGACTGAATGCTGTTGATACACTTCCGTTATCATGCTGTACAAACGAAGTCTGCACGGCATATCTATGCGTCCTCCTTGCAGACTGCTGTGACATCCACTGCAGGAACCACATATATGATACGTCTTTTGAATGAATCTCTAACGTGGCCAGTAACCGTCTTCGGGTGAGTTCTGCACCCAAGACGAGCCCTCTTCTCATTGCGGCCAGGCCAGCACCAAAACCTACCACGCCTACGCCAGCCGTGAAATAGGGATTGTTCTCGAGTAAAGAGTTGAAGAATGTGTCTGGCATTGTTGAATGCTAGTTTTTTTAGTGTTACCCCGAAATTTTTTAATCGATTATCAAGTAGTCATGTGATTACCGGAAATACCAATACTTGATTCCACACTCTATGGAAAAAGGGAATTTTCTGAATTATTGATATTCCACTGCTTACTATTACTATTACAGACATGCTGCTTGAATATCTCTACTGACCATTAGCGTCATTACCCTTGCCTTAATTTACAAGACTACCCTGTTTAACAGGAATGCCTTTTGTATTTTCCAAAGTTGACAGTTTATTGTTCAAACAATCGAGCTTGCCTTTGCTATGACGTGGGATTAAAAATATAAAGTCTATTATTTTACTTGACGCGTAGATGAAAAGTTACACAAACAATAATCCCATATTTTATTCACGTGTCTGGCAGACTAGCAGACTCTTAATTATACAGGCTTATCCTTATTTCCTGTATGGCATTCGCCCACCGGAAATGTCACAATTTGTTTACGATATGACGCTACGCAGCGTCACCAAATAAAATTCCTTGGCGACTAAACTACGCCATACGCTTTTGCATGAATTGCTAGCGGAATCACACAATCGTTCGAACTGCAATTAAAATATAGTTGACAAGGTTGGTTGATAACTTTTAAGTAAAGGCATTGAAGTTTCTTGATGATAAAGAATGCGATAATGGAACCTCCCTCCTCTCTCTCTCTCCCACTCTCTCCCCCTCCCACTCTCTCCCACTCTCTCCCCCTCCGTGAAGGGCGTTCTCAACATGTAACAAATAAGTATGCAGTACAACATATCAGCTGACCATTATCAACACTTTGACCCCTAACCCTCAAAAGAAACATGTATCCCCATATGGAAAAGCTTCTTTTTCGCGGGTAAAATTTATACGTGTACCCCGACTTTTCCCTGCGTTTGCGCCACAGACATTAAACATTTTGTTTCTAGTTCATATTCAGTAAATATCAGCATAGCCTGTTTCCCAAAGAATTAGTTAGCTACGGGACCAGCAAGTGATTGTGATGACAATGGGATTATCAAGAATACCGACAGTGCACTGTGACACGTCATTGTACAGTATCGAGAGCATTATTATTATCAATGCTATGGTTACATTATTGATAAATAACGTCAGCTTGTAAAATTGCTTGTACTACTTCCTTTTATGCTGCGGCTCTCTCTCTCTTAATTTCGTTCAATGTTTGTGTTTGCTCATTTTCTATCTGCATTGTTTTTGTAACATACGATAATCTATGTAATGCTCTGCATTCTGGTCACAAGAAATGTCCCCAATTTGGATCCCTTATTTTAGAGGAATGTCTAAACATATTCTTTACTACTAACCAATATTACAGCTGCCGTGAACATCAATAGACAACTCAATGACGTTGTGTACCGCTTTACTCTTGATTCTGATATCTGGCCTTGGCATACATTTGTGAGGGCATGTTTTGTATGCGGTCCTTCTCTTTATATGGCAGGGATGTTCAAGATGCAAATGGAAGTGCATGTCATAGATAATAGCTTAATCGCTAGGTATAGGCTCGACCTATTCTGACACTTGATCGTTAAAGAGATATTTTTCGTAATACTAATCTGTATGAAAACCAAATATGGCCTAATACGAAAGTTTTCATACAAACAAAACAAACCAGCGCGTGGGTAGATAAGATTCAAGTCACGAGGACCACATAGAAAAAGCTTTGTTCAGGAATCAGAAACTAGAGTATTTTTTTTTTCTTTTTCCCACTTTCGATTCTCCGGCTGAGGCGTCTAAAATCGTTCGGAAAGTCAATGCAAATGAAACTGTTGGGTTTTTCAAAACAATTCTTATCGATCTAACAAAGAACTGGACGAGACCGAAAAAGGCCGAATTCATATTAGATTTGGTCATCAGGGGTAACATTTTCGCACATCCGTTTCAATAAAATGGACACTTTGCTTATTCCCCCACCCCTTCACTGCTATTCAGTAGCAATTCCTCCCCCACCATGGTCAGAAAATTGTTATCGTCCTTTTTCCTCGTCCTCGTCCTCTTCCTCCTCCATCCTCTTGTCGCATCAGGTTCACGATCGACAGGTTTAAATTTCCAATCCGAAGAACCATCCGATGCCAAATGGACTGACGAGCTGAGACTAATTCAAGTGGCGGAAAACAAGCCACCAACGTGGTTAACCGAGGATGAGATTTTAATTTTGATTAGGGCGGGAGTGAAGTTTATGGACGTCACCGAGGATCAAAAAGGTGTGACGACTGTCGCAAAAAAGACCAGAGGTAAAAGAAACCAAGTTTTATTTATGAAAAGAATATGGCTCAATCGGATCGATAAGAAGAAAAATGTATACAAGAATGCCCCCAGCTTATTATCTTTTTTATTCAAACACCAGTCTACCCGGATGTGCCCAACTACGTTTCCGAAGTATCTGAATTCATTCCGCTTTTAGAAGCTGCAAGATTAAAAAAAAATCTCAAGTCATTTACCAGTTTCCACACGCGATACTATCGTTCATCTTCAGGAGCAGATTCATCAAAATGGTTGTTCAAACAGATCCTCGCAATCATCAATGCTGCGAGTGACGATATTGATGTGTCGGTGAGGAAATTCAAACATTCATGGGTACAGAAAAGTATCATAGCACGATTCGAGGGCAGTGATCCGGATAAACATAACGAGGTTGTTATTGTCGGAGCACATCAAGACAGCATAAATATGTGGTTTCCCATGATCGGGAGGTCTCCAGGAGGTAAAGAAGAAAAAAAGAGGAGCGAACCCGAGATTGATCTAGGTTTACTCGCACGTTTTGCCGCGCTGTCATCGCACATTTAACCCGTTTACGCCTTTTAAACCCATATTAACTCGGAGTGATTTCGTTTTTATAAAAAAAAAAAAAAAAGCGGATGATGATGGAAGTGGTACAGTTACAATACTCGAAGCTTTCCGCGTCCTGGTCGAAGGTGGCTTCAAACCTACACGCCCGGTCGAGTTCCATTGGTATTCCGCTGAAGAAGTTGGTCTATTGGGATCGCAAGATGTGGCAAAATTTTACGCGCGCCAAGGAAGAGATGTCATTGGAATGCTTCAGAATGACATGACCGGATACGTCGGAAACAAAAAAGCTTCATTTGGAATCATCGTCGATTACGTGGATGACGGGTTGACGCAGTTCTTAAAGAAGCTTGCAAAGCAGTATGCGGCCATGCCTATTGTAGATACCAAGTGCGGGTAAAGTATACTTGAGTGTTGGGGGAGGGGGGGGGGGGGAGGATATGCTGAACGTGACTAGAGAGGTGTGTTCGTTACTGATTGATTCTGTTTTAGGTATGCTTGTTCTGACCATGCGTCTTGGAGAAAGGTCTGTATCTTGCTTTTGATTGCTTAACCGTCATGTTGAAAAAAGGTTCTTGTATGTTGTGTAATCATTACTCACATGTTACGATACAAATTGTTTTATTTGCAGGCCGGCTACCCATCTGCCTTTGCATTTGAAGGAAAGTTTGAAAACGCTAATCCATATATTCATACAACGAATGACGTTTTAGAGAATCTTGACTTTGACCACATGCTTGAATTCTCAAAGGTAAATAATATTGTACACGATCAGTTACTACTGCTTATTGCAGCGAATAATTTACTCATTCACTCGCATCTATTCTCCACCAGTTGGCTGTCAGCTTTGCCGTGGAATTGAGCCATACAGACTAATGATTCAGACACTTGTTAATATAAACCTGTACTGGACCAAATTGGTGTTTACTTGACGATAGGACTTGCGAATAGATACATTGTTCTTCAGGCAAGAATTATTTTGGTAACCAGAATTATTTCGCGTCGTAATAAATAATAAATCGTTCAGCGCTGTTATACTTGAGCGTCGGCATGACATGAGGAAAATCGTTTTTGGCGACTAGAGATAATTTTAACCTTTACTTATGTCTCGGGAATGTGATTGGAATGTTGTCAGAATGATTATTGATTGGACCAAATAGACGATCGCAGAGTTTATCATTGTACTACTAAACAATTAAAATATTGATGCACCTTTAAATGTCCAAGGTAACACGCCAATATTGTAATACGATTATATCTAAAACACGTGGAAATACCCGGGAACTTAACTTGTTCGATTTTCGCCAGCCTGCATTTAAGTTTCTCCGAAGAAATTAAAAAAGCAAGCGGGAAAAAAGCAGTGTCATCCTAGCGTTCATTCGTCTGATATAATTACAAAGCTACAAACGCAACACAACGGTCAAACCATTATGCATAGAAAAAAGTACCAAATAATTGACAAGCGATCTCAAACTAAAGAGTGACATTCATGTCAGCTGATAAATAAAGGTATTCCTTCTAATACACAGGAATACAGTATATTAAGATATAAATATCCTATTTATAAAAATAATGATCCAATTGATATTACTTTTGCATCACACAAAAATCTAGAATTAACGTAAAGGTACAATATAGACATCCAGTATTTGAGGAAGAATAGTATCAATTAAAGGAATGATAATAAGATAAACGTGAGGGAAAAAAAAAGGTATTCAGCTATACCAATACCAAAGAATAGGAGAGAAACGTATTAAATATCTATATATAAACCCTCCTAGCATGATCAGAATCTCAAGTGTTAATACTCGAATACCGGCTTCGAGCATCCTTGATTCTTATTTCTTCCATAACGTATCAAGTGAACCAACCAAACTGAGATGCGTAATAGAACAAACAATAGGGACGAGGAAAATACCAGACCCCAATTAGTTAACCAAAAATATTTTCATCATCCTCATTCCCCTTTTTCACGCCGTGACAGAAACAATATATATAGAGAACAGTAGAAATAAATAGTGGAAAATCGTATTGCGACTGTTACTTTCCCGTATTTCAAATCTCAGACAGATCGTCCAACAATTTCTTTTTCTGTTCCTTCGAGATCATCCTACTCGCCTTTCTGGCCAATAGCCTCTCTGTGCGATATTGCTCATAAAACACTTCCAAAGTCATTGCTTTAAATAATCTACGGTGCGTGTTCATCAACACGTTCTTCAAAACAACAAAGTCGCAATGTTTTGAGTTTAGGCAATCGATAACGCCCCAGGCGTATTGTCTTCCGCGGATTATTTGTCCTGTTGACGGATCAGTAATTTCAGCATCCTCGGGTGCAATGACCGAGAACGGGAGCAATTTCTGAAGTTTTTCGATATCTTCGACTATTTCAGATTCGACATCTTCATCGTCCTCTGCGGTAAAGGCGAAAACAGGTATTTGATGCGTTTTGAGATCATTGGTGATGGCCTGCTTCAATTTGGCGAGTTGTGTGGTAGTTAGCAAGTCGGCTTTGGCTACGACAGGGAGCACATTAACGCGTGCGGTGATTCGTTTGAGAATGCGAATGTCTTTATCAGATAGGCCATTGTTGGCATTGTCGATAAAGTAGACACATGCGTGAATCTGACTGTCGACTGCTCGTGGGTTGCGCTTTACTTTCGTTTCCTAGATGAAATAATATAAAAATCTCCTGTTATCTATGAAATATAGATCGTCTGCTGACCACACAATCTTTATACAGAGTAGGTATCACACCCATCTTCAAATATGTAATTAATTGACCCTTAATGCCGTACACAAAAAACCCTATCGTGTGTTAAGAAATATTTCTCGGGTGATAAAGACTTTGCCGAAAGTCTACAACTCTTGTCTTTATATTATCTTAACGGTTTTTGTAACCGACAAACAAGTCGCTTTCAAGGGGTCAAGCTCTAGCTGCCCAATGGATCAATTACTCCAACCGATTATTTTACCAAACCCCAATAAATAAAACCTGACCCTCCAAAATGCCATTATTTTTCTGCACATGGAGACTCAATTCACCGAACCGGTATCTAATTCTTACCTCGGCCAAAGTCTGGTCAAATTGAGCTTCGATATATCGCAAAACTTCCGTGACCTGCACGTCCAATCTCAATTCGTTATCCTTTACAAACCCGGGAGTATCTACCAAGGTCAATGAAATCTTCTCTCCCTCTTCCTCAACTTCCGTTGTGAAGGAATACAATTCCTTCGTGCCAACATCCTCAGGCGATTGGCATACTTCGAAGACAGCAGGGGGAAGTTCGTCCTTATCGTGTTGCCGATTGTGAAGAGTGTCGGCAAGCATACGGATAAACGAAGTCTTGCCCAGGGCTTTAAAGCCTACCACCATAAGGTTGAGCTGGGAGATGGTATGTTTTCTACGACGAGAACGCGGATTCATTTTCAATTTTTCAACTCTTGTAGCCTAAACTGGGAATATGTTCGTAGAACGAAGTATATGGGTTACTCGTCAGTGAAGCCTTTAGTAGAAAGGTGAATGGAAAGAGGGAGGAGGGAGGGGGAATGCGTGTGTTGTTTGAAGTGTAAAGAGACGAAATAGGAAAGAAAGACGGGGGTAGGTTATTAAATCCCTGCTTATCGTACGTTTATAACACCTCAGCAGACGAAAAGCAAGAGCAAAGAAGCAATATAAAATGAATGACTCTCGTGTACCGGATCTTACCTTTGTGCTTTCTGGTCCGTTTCGATTTTTCGTCAAACTCACTACCGACAATAAATGCGGTGAAACGGAAATTTTTATGCTAATTAGTCGTGAAATTACGTGATACGAGTCACCTCATCGGTAAGTAATAATTATTTTTTTATTAGTATTTTTTATTGGCATGTCGTGTGAATTGATGATTTACATGTTTTCTATTTAAGTAAATGGTAACGATTGTAACGATTGGTACATTTCGTATCCGTCCAACGTCTTGAAACCTAAATTAGCAAGTTTTGTAGTAAATCCTTTGAGGCAGAATCGTATATATTGTGATTTATGACAGGGCTTGTCAATGTCTGGACAACGTTCGGGAATTCGGATTAGCTTTTTTTGATCAACAATAGAAGAATATTACTCTATTGAAGTTATTATCCGTAATATAACGGTCGATTTTTGTCTATCTTTTTAATATATGCCAGATAAGATTAGTGCAAACATTATTATGATTAATATGTCTACTATACTTTTACTGTTTGTTTGTTTCATTCTCTAAAAGGAACATGTAGTCATATGTCTTGCCAAGAACTAGTGAGAAACAAATATCGCTTGGTATTAGGGCATTTTTCTGAAACATGCTTAAAAAATTGCTTCTCGAATTGTGAAACATTTAGACATTAGTAGTTTATTTATTGCTCTTTACTGGCGATAGTGTAAATTGCCTTTCATATTGCTTATTGTTGTCCTGTCCCAAAGTTTACGGTTATCGTTATTGTTAGCTAATACTAATACAAATACTAATTATGTTTAGACTTGTAATTTGCTCACGTAATAGTTATGTTGAATATTTACGATCATCAAATTGTGGCCAGTTGCAGTGCCGTTATTATTATGGAAATCAGTGACCTTAAAGCAGTTTAATAATAATCGTGTAATTAATTATACATGTTCTATAATATACGAATACGGTTCTACTGGCTAGATACAAGTCGCGTCAACGTTAATTAGTAGTGAGTCCAGTTTTCACAAATACTTTTTACGAGAGCCTTCCTTAATACTATTACCATATCAACAAATCTCGTGTCATATCTAAATTATATTAAACACATGTTACAATCCTCTTTTTAGGTTAATGTGTCCAGTTAGAAATAGACCATGCGAGAGCGTAATATGGATGCTTGCTGTCATCATTAATAAGTACCGTAAAATAGAACCGTTATTTAGAAATCGTATACAAGACAAAAATTTCATGCAGTCCCGACCAGATTTCTGCAAGCAAGAGTTACAGTGGTGTGCAGAAAAATGACAATTCACAGCCTTTTCTGTAGTCTGTAAATAAGTAACTTTTCCAATTCTGGTTCTGTTCATGTTATGTAAAATAAAAATAAAAGCTTGGCTTTTAGTCTTGTTTATTTTATGCACTATACGTTTTATCACGTTCAACACTGAGAGTTATTTTACTACTAAATTGTTTTACCTAAACGCAACCATTTATTTAAAGCAAGAATTATGCAAAGCTTTTGAAATATGCTCACAGGCAAAATTTTACTTAAAACTGTTTACTGATATCTTAAAAGCTTAATGGCACCGAAAGTACTAACATTTTGTCTTGCACAATTAATTGAACATATTTAACAAAGCAACAATGTAGTAAAATATTATGAGACAATATTGTATTGACGTTACAATCAATAAAATCTGCTAAATGATGTTAATTATCGTAAAACTAGAGCAATTTAAACAATTGTCTCTTTTTCACACTATTTCAAGTATGATGCGACTGATCGTGCATTGCAGTAATTATTGTAGAAATATTGGGCATATATGAAATATCTTGACAATATTTTCTATTTGGCTCAATTAATTATATTTATTATTGACAGGAAATTTGTTTACATAATAATAATAACAATAATAATAATAATAATGATTATCATCTTTTGAAAACCATGCATATCTGTTTACGAGATCGACATATCATCGATGATGTAATAGGCCCTGATGGATAAACGTTGGTTGTCAAAGAGAATATGCTTACTTTTAAAACTGTAGGATATAATGGATACGCGGTGAGTATAGTTTACTCATAGACGTTCATTCTTTTGTATGATCAACTAGATATTGTCTGAAAGTATGTCTGACAGGGTCTTGTAACATTCGTGTGTCTATTTCTTTCTATCGAATAGGTTCAATTCAGCCCGTTCGTTGAGCATAAACTGGCATGCGCATCAGCTGCAAACTTTGGACTAGTTGGAAACGGTCGACTGTTTATTCTGAATCTGGATACAACGCCGAATGGAATGAGCATGGAACGAATGTAAATTGATTATACTTTTTGGTCTACCAATGAAAAAAACTGCTTTATCCCGTATAACTAAAACTGTCTGGACGCTCGAGTAGGTTCGATACTCAAGATGGGCTGTTTGATTGCTCATGGAGCGAGATTAATGAGAATCAGATTGTGACAGCAAGCGGTGATGGATCTGTCAAGTTATGGGATATAACACTTGCGGTTTGTATATGATCACCGCATATCTGTAAGTCTGTTGGTATCAAAGGAACGGATGATGAACATACAAATAATTACAGTATGTAACAAAGCAATAGCTAAAATCGTGTGTCTGTGAATATGCTTCTCTATTGAACCGCATTAGGAATTTCCGATACGGAACTGGAAAGAGCATCAAAGAGAAGTGTTTTCTGTACATTGGAATTACATCAAGAAGGATACTATTGTTAGTGGGTCGTGGGATCAGACAATCAAATTGGTAAGGGCGGAAAGGTTTTTATTGGAACGATAGATGTTGTCACAACATGTTGCATTAATCCATTTCAATACGTCCTTTTGTCTAGTGGCATCCGGAGCATCTCCAATCTCTCTCAACGTTCACGGGCCACACGGCCTGTATTTATAGCACACTCTGGTCACCATATAATGCCGATTTATTCGGGTCAGTATCAGGAGATCGCACATTTCGTCTTTGGGACATTAAAACCCCCAGACCCGTTACCGTCATTCCTGCTCATCAGGACGAAATCTTGTCGTTCGACTGGAATAAATACCGTAACCAAACCATCGTAACAGGCTCTGTCGACACTACTCTTCGCATTTGGGATCTCAGATTTCCCGACCGCGAAGTGAAGACGTTGCAAGGGCACCAGTATGCAGTAAGGAGAGTGAAATATTCACCCCATTCTGGTGATATTATTGCTTCTGCTTCATATGATATGACGATGAGAGTATGGAATACCGCGGCGATGAACCCATTGTTGATGTTGCATAATTTACACACTGAATTTGTATTAGGAATAGATTTTAATTTGTATGTAGAAGGACAGATCGTTACATGTGCTTGGGATGAAATGGTACATGTAATTCAACTAGCTTGACAAATGTAAGGTGTGTGATAACAATACGCTAAAGGTGTTGATCGTAGGAAGAGTCCTTGTGAAGCGATCGAAATAAAAAAGAACATTGACAAGTTGAAGTATCTTTGTTGTGGTTATTATGTACCACGTGATGACTGATGAATTGCGCTGGACCTATTAAAAGTTATTGCGCGCAAAATCAATCGGTCTATTATTTGTAATATTAAACTAAAGACTGGTTTCTGAACACATTTATATTAATCATCTTTATATTATTTATTATCGCTCTTTACCCCCCGCAGTATAGTACCCAGTATAGCACCCCAGTATAGTACCCCAGTATAGTAACCCTCACACACTTAGTACCCCCTGTTCTGTGCTAGTACTAGAATCGGTGCAATACGGTAACTAAATTATAGCAGAAGATGTCCTTTTGTTATTCTGCGGAACTGGCTAACGACTTGGAAGCCCTATTCCATAATAGTGATGAATATGACTTGGTCATAACATGCGGCCAAAACGACGAAGTGGAAGACATAGGCGCCCATTCGCTCCTCTTGCGAGCGCGGTGCGCTTACTTTAGAACTGCTCTATCAAAAAAATGGCAAGAACGCGAGAATGGAATTATCAAGTTTTCGAAACCTAATATTGCGCCCAGAATCATCAAGATAATTCTGAGGTAAAACAAATAACTTATCTGACAAGGATAATATGATCGATTGCATTATGTAACATTCATAGTTTACGCTAGGTATTTGTACACTGGACTATTTCGAATAGATACATTACCGAGTGAAGACCTATTAGAACTGTTAACAGCATCAGACGAGTTGGGCCTTTCAACAATATTCAACGAAACGGAAATGTACCTAACTGAAAAACGGCACGAATGGCTACTTCAGAATCTCGTCCCCCTTGTACAATGTTCTTACAAATTCTCTGCATTCGACAAGTTGAACGCGTTTCTACTGGAAGCAATAACGAATAATCCAAACATCATTTTTAAATCCGAGAACCTTCACCGACTCGATGAGAATCTTTTGGTCAATTTACTAAAAAGAGATGACCTCGGTATGGATGAAGTCGACATATGGGAATGTGTTTTAAAATGGGGCTTGGGCCGAACCGAGTCGTTGGAAGGTACAACAACGTTGCAACAACTGTCGAACGAACATTTGGCAGAATTACGAAAAACACTTGAAAATTGTATTCCCTGGATCAGATTCCACCAGGTATCACTATCGCGTATCCTCTAGACGAAATACGTCACTGGTTAACAATAGGCATTTTCCAGTAAAACACATTACAAAAATTATTTGTTTCTTTATCTAATCGTTTTACAGATGAACCCAGGGGAATATTTTACAAAAGTACGCGTACCGTATAAGGCTCTCTTATCACCTGAATTGGACGAAGAAATACTTCAATATTTTCACATTTCCAACTTCAAGCCCTCGTTCAACGTACTACCCAAACGCCATGGATCGATTGATTCGACTATAATAGGGTTTCGTCACTCGTCGTTGATATACTCGACAATCAGCAAATCCATAGACAAGCCATTTAGATTCAACCTACTTTTTCGTGCAAGCTTACACGGTTTTCAGCCAAACGTGTTTCACTCGAGGTGTGATTTTGCCAACAAAACTATCGTCGTAGGAAAGATCGTAGGGAGCAAGGATATAATTGGTGGATATAATCCGGTTTCATGGTCTCAAGGAACTCAGTTGCTATTTACAACAAGCTGTGGTCCTTATGAGGAGCTATGGCCATCACTGAGGTATTATAGATTCGCGATGGATAGTTTTTTGTTTGCATTTAAGGATGGGGAGAAAGATCAGTACCGCATAAGCAGAGTAAATGCGGCTACTCAGGCTATTCTATGCACTCCCAGTTACGGGCCTAGCTTTGGCGAATCCGATTTGATAATCGCAGATCGAAGAGGATGGTGTATGCCCAAGAGTTATGAAAAGTTGTTGGGGCAGACTGGAGTATTTATGCTTGAGGATTATGAAGTTTTTGAAGTAATTGTATAAACTTATTACCAACATAGTTTGTTCTGTTTGTAGATAAAGCAATCAATATTTATAGCGTCGTCGTTCTATTTGTGCTTTATAATTATAGAATTTCTGATCTGATTTTTAAACATTGAATTTTTGATATGGCCTTTCTTTGCATTTACAGTTAAACAGGCCTGATGTTTAGATATATTTGCTAGTGAACTCTGAATAAAATATCGAGATCTTCATTATTCCTGTTACAACAGCAAAATCGAGCCATTGTTTCGTTTATCTTAATATTTTGAACTATCGAATTGAGAATGACATTTGTTACATGTGCTACATATTTGTATTTATTATAGTTCGGCACCATTCGCTGACTTTACGCGACTGACATTACCACATATCATTTGTACTTAAACTTAAAATCACGGTGTGTGCATTTAGCGAGTAATTCTCGTATAGGGAAATCCCCGTTGCATGTACAGAGTATAGAGTCTATCGAGCAGAATAGTGGACTAGAAATTTCCTACCGTCTTTGCAACGGTATGAATTAAAGTCTTGCAAATGCATTAAAGCTGTAAAGAGGAAGGTGGAATTGCATAGTATCACAAACCAAAAACGATTCATTTGTTGCCTATTGGTCAGCTCTTTTACTATATTCATTGGATTAATTGTTTGCAAACACTTTATTATTGTAATATTAGTACGAAAACATAGCCCGCAGATACAAAAGGTTGTGAAAAGCAATCCATTGCAATGTAACTTTTTTTTTTCAATAAAATCATCTTTATTGACTCGCTTTGACCGCCGGAAAATATTCCGGCATTGATGGAATATGAGGTCGCCGTAATCAATTCAGTAAGACGCCCGTGGTCGATTTGCATATGCCATTTATTTTGCAAGATACGGTTTTCATTTTAACTTCGGAAGCAGCCCCCCTTCGCTTTCCCTCGATGTTTTTTTAAAAATAAATTTCTCGATTTGTTCTACATTGTGGGACAATCTGGTTCACTTGTTGAATTTTTGCTATAAACTTGGTTCGAGTGCTTAAAAAACATGACACTCAAATTATTTGTTCGATGTATTAACTATAATAAAGTCAGTTATATTAGAATTAGTCATACCGATACTGTTGTCGTTTTTATTTTCGTTGTACTGTTTAAAATTTTATTCGCTCGTTTCGTATAGCATTTTGATGGTTTGTTTCTTGTTACCGATCCGCTTGCAGTGAATGAAAGTACGTGAGCTTTGAAACTCTGTTTGTAAGCATGTCGTATTCTCTCAACTCTTTGGTACTGTTGAAGCTAAGCAGTTGTTCTGCAAAGTTTATGAGAGATGTTGGAACAAGTTCAAGTTGGTAATCCACACGTCAAAAAATTTTAATTAGACGTAATTGGCGCGTCTTCAGACTAAGAGAGGAACAGAAGCGTTGAAATAATAAACAGTCGCTTTTTCGATTTATTACGATTGGTTGAAAGTTTACCCCCTCCCCCCGCGATGGGATTATGACGTTTATTGCACGCGTATTTTATGCTGAATCAAACACAAATTATGGTTATAATAATAATAATAATAATAATAATAATAATAATAATAATAATAATAATAATAATAATAATAATAATAATAATAAT